TGCAGCAATAAGGAGCGAGGAATCTTCCCTCAGATTCGTGTTAGTTGAAGCTAGCTTAACTTTATTGTCAACCTGTGTTCTGTGTTCTTGAGTAGACGATCGGTATTCTGCTTGGTTGTCGCGCACAGAACCGAAGTGCCCCTGGGCCTGAGCGTGTCTTCTCTTGTTCGTGACTAATAAGCAAGTAATCATCAACTCGAACATAAAGAATTGAGAACTGTAGACTTCAATTTATCTGTCATAATGAACATGAAGTTGCTGTGATATTTGATCTAGGTAGGACAACGCTAGCGACCTGCTTGCATGACCTGGGGGACAGACGAACTCAAGTCATCCATTTGGCCCTCTTTGGGGAAGACACGCCATGTTACATATCTCAACCCATTTTGATGGCCCAGATAGCCTGTATAGCTTCTTCTAGGCGTCCTGTAATGGGCCGTTAAGGTATGGGCATTAAATTTACCTCACTTCGTGCCCTTGGTATCATGATGTGGGATTGCTCGCTTGGAGTTCGGTATGGGGAAGGTATTGAGCATGGGTGAATTACGATACCAGAAGCCTGGGTCGAAACGTTTGTACTGATTTCCCGGACAATAAGACCTCGTGCTGTCTTGCCCTAGTGGAAACCATTCCGAGAATAGTGTGCCGTAGCTCAAGTTCTGCCGGATTCATGCTCAACCGTGACCCATCACAGGCTGTGATAGGGAGTGACGTACCTGCGGATTGCTAGAAGTAATCATAGCCGTCGTATGAAGCCCTTGAGAATAATCAAGACTTCACGTTGCAATAAAAAGACTGCTCTGACTAAACGGTATCTTTAACTGCCCAAAATTTAAGAGAATTACCTTGAAGCTACGTGTGACAACAAAGTTTGAACCTCGCCTGAAAGTCTAGTTTGGCTAAGTAAAGTCGCGTGAGGTAGTAGAGCTGTCACCACTCTGTCCTTTAGATCTCTTGGCCTGCCATGATGAGCGCTTTACGCCCCAGCCAGCACCCTGCGACGTCGTATTTTTGACCACCCAGGATACCCTGGAATTCTTGAGCGGACCTAATTTCTATCCCTCAGTGGTAGAAATTGACTTCTAGTTTAGATGAATCCAAACAATTGAGGTATTGAAACAGTTCATTCACCATATATTTGTTGCCGACAGACAAGCAAGTTCCTTACGCTTTTCGTTTTGGTCGACTCGAAGAGGTAGGAGCCTTGAGAGAAAGAGTGCTATGGTCGAGATCATGGAACCTGAATGCATTTACTTCCAGAAGGACTTCAGTTTCCCTGAAGGCTAGTTCCTCGTGATCTCATAACATTTGTCTTGTACGTGTCTACATGGAGAGAAGAGGATGGGAACAACACCTGACGCACTATAATTAAGGGGGTGACCGCACGCTTCTGTGATCTCAGCGAATCGGTGAACAAATAGGAAGATCTTATCTTGCGATCTTTTCAACAATGAAGTCACATGCCCTGGGTTCATCCTGGAGCTTCCGGAGTGGTGAAATCCTGATCGAAGGGGTACTGAGCTAAGGTACCCTCAATGGGCTAACGCCCAAGGCTGTTGTCTGTACTCAACGCGTATTATGAAGTCTTTGAAATTCTCTGATTGATTATGATAAAAAATAAGCCGTATGGTCCAAACTTTTATTTAGCGAGTCAAAGTCAGGCTGTGGACGATGGGCCGGGCTCAACCGTTACGACATCGGAAGACGATCCAGTTTTTTTTCGAAGGGACTCGATGCTGCTACTTACTAGACTACTTATAGCTCATCAAGGCAAGTGTATTGCTCGAAAGAAGATATGAACGCTGGAAAAAAAACAAGGCTGCACTTCAACTTGATTTAACACACGACACAATCGCAGGAGAGGGTGCTTGTGTCGCACACGGCTCGTGGGATTGGTATCCCTCAATCTCTGTCCATCTATTAATTAGTCGCTGCTTTTCATTTATGCTATCCCGGGCATCCGACTGTGCTAATCGGCCAAACTCAGAGCTGAATTGCCCATATTTTCAATGGTGGTATTCCTACTGTAAAACTTGCAAAATCGCCATAATTTAACCGAGTCCCTGCTTCGTACCAAAATCAAAAGCGCATAACGTAAATACCCAATTACTACAGATCTACCCAAAGCCAATTCCGTCATAAACAATGGAAAACCCTGAGCTTCACCACATCATAAGCAGGGAGCCGCAATAGCGTAAAACAAAGCCAATTGCAAAGCTCTCAACCAGTGCGATGCCGGCAGTCAGTTGCCAATAGTCCTAACAGGTTGTCAGGCTTTTCTGGCTGATCCACGAAACATACTTCTATGGAGCTGAAGGGGATCTACTAGAGTGAGATGCAGTGGCGTGCGTGGTCATGAAGAGAGACGGAATACAGGCGGTGTTTCGCTGCGGGCGAATGGACCGATGTGGCAGGTCGAAGCGAGAATCATCACTAAAGCTACGATGTTCTCGCCCATTGATCAAGCTGTTTGGGGGTAATTGGTCCAGGTGTGAGTAAACACATCGAGGTGGCCAAGGTCGTAACCAGAGTACTGGTTTGTAGAGCATCGTGAAGAACGATGACGCCTACGAAAAGATCACATGGGTTCGGACTGCTGCGCGTGTCATTCATTCGGGGCGAAGCTTTTCCTGCAGCCTGCAGCCTCAGTGTACGGGCACGATGCGCAAATGTGAGAGGTGAGAGAGGCGGTGGAGTCGATTAGAGGAGCGCGGTCGATCTGTCTAGGCAACTATGATCGCCATTTAGAAGAAGCTTTTTCTGTGGTGCCATCCCACGATAGTGGTGTTCGTTTGTCGTGTTGTTGCTACTGGTAATTTTCCATGGCGATTGGCGTTACCGATATCGGGCAGGTCTGCCGTAAGATCCTCATGAATGTGCTTGAGGCACTGAAGACTGAAGTGGTATACTACGAATGATGCGCGCGGATGTTAATGTCTGACATGTATCATTCTGAGGTGCCACAGCTACTGAGAGATTGGCATAGCCGCACGGCATTTGGTCTCAACTCCATGTATGGAATCTTGTGATAGGACCCTCCCAGCTCTTGCTGCTTGACGGCTTCTTGTGAGGAATCTGGTGCATTCGGGTTGGGAAGTACTGTAAGGAAGGTAGCTATAGTCATCAAATGGCCTGCAGCAAAAAGGCCACCAGCAGACAAGGGTTTAATGACTACCTATGGATGCGTCGTCAACGCCCTGCTGGTCAAAATGCACAATCAGGCCTGGGACTCAGGGTGGCACGTGGCTAGGTATCACTCGCGAGTCGCCGGAATCAAAGTGCTCAAGTCTCAAGATGTGATTCGATCTGTAAGATACCTAAGTCATGAGAAAGCTTGGTTTTCACGCAGAGTGACCATTGGAGCCACGACATCGGGCGGAATGCTCAAAGACGTGGCGGTTGGTGGTGATCGGGCGTGTCGGGTAAGCGCGAAGCTGAGGCGAACTAGCTACGTGCTAGCTTAACGTCGTTTGGCAGAAATGAACCGCCGTGTCAAGGGAGGCGACGATTTTCTCATTTTGACCATGCACGACCTCCTGTTGGGAGAAAATGCTGAGATGGGGTTCCCTCTTCCCCTTCTCGTCCTTTGTCTCATCTCGAGAAAACTCCTATCATTCACAAAAGTAAGTCAAGGAACGAGTGCGCAACACGCCTTACAGATACGTACCATAAATACCTATCTACATGTGGTACTTGAGGCAACCATGCAGACATTAGGCTACGTGGCTACCTACTGAGAACTGAAATGGCAATGCCGCAAGCCACCAGGAACCCCTGTACCGCTCACCGGCTTACCGGTCATGGCAGCATCAATCAATCTGAGAGCAACCCGTGGGAGTGTGGTTTGATCTGTACGTCCATGAATTCCCCCCTGACCCCTAAAGCATAGAGGCGCAGACATTGCCAATTCCTATAAGCCTTCCCCGATTTCGCGCGCGAATATCAAACGTCGCATAATTAAGTACGGAAATCTGGATGCGATCCTCGTGTAAGCAGACAACAAGGCTGAGAATCTGGCCTAGGTGACCCAAACGAAAGTTAACCGGTAGTAGCATGCCCGGTATCTCCGCGTTCCACTCTTCAGTATGTAGAAAGAGGAAAGCAGAGAGAGCAAATACGATGTCTTTAATCCGGGTTAGCTTCTATGATCTCTGTGCTGAAAACCACCCGAAACTGGGAGACTGGGGGAAGTACTGAAAAAAGAAAAGAAAAGAAAAGAGGGAAGTAAGAGGGAAGTGCATGTGCTGACGCCATCTAGCATTCCAAAAAGGTGGGATAGCATGTCACCCTCGATTCTGTCTTGTAAGCTTTTACGGCTGTGCAAACCCGTTATCTTAGTACGATTGCCGGTCCAGCATCCACTTTCCTGTTTTGATTGCTCGGACACAGAAGTTGTTCCAAAACAATACTTCGTAGAAAAATAGAAGTATATTCGAGCAGCTTAGTGACCAAGGATTGAGCTCAACAATCTGCCCCACCGGACCATGGAACACCCAACCTTGTGTTTGATGCAGTCTTTGTCAGGTGATCAAAGATCCATTGCCATCTTCTCCTGAATCGTACAATCTCGTTCTAATGTTTCGACACACAAAAACACCCTACGCGTTGTGACAGGCCATCGCCTTCTCGTGATACACTCTTCGATACATCTGGATTCCTGGCAAAGGTCCAGCATTGTATATCAGTACCCTATTAGTCGCCTCGAAGAGTGGGCGGAGCGGACGCCTGGCCAATCCTCGCCGCATCCTCCACACCACCCAACCGCTCAAGCCCGCATGTTCACCGCCATCGACGCCTAACATAGTCAGGCCGCCCTGATCTTGCTGGCCGAATTGTCCGTCTGATCATTTGCATGATCTCCAGACACACCATACCTTCTGCAAAGATAATCCAATAGCGACTGCAGAAGGGTGTTGTAGAGGGGCTGGACCGTGGGCGACGGTAGATCCTTGGTTGTCTTCAAAGGGGAAGCTTGGAGAGGGACCCATTACGTCCTAAACATGGTACATAATGCGCCCTTCTGTCTATGTTCCCAACTCCCAACCCATGAACTCTCTCATAAATCAACCTTTCAGCCGCTGACGAGCCGTCCCACCACTAGCCGCCGCGCAAAAAGTATGCCTTCCGCTGGACCTGCGTGCGTTATCCCTACATCTATCTCGTTGCTGCTTGCAGACTTCTCAATGCGAACTGCCTGAACGATAAATCTCTAAGATACATACTGATAGCAGTGACAGTGCTATTGCGGTCAGGGAGGCATGACTGTAGTGACTGATCCTTGCGTGAGTTGCGGATACCCCAGGTGTTCGCGCTGTCGAGTGGACAAACTGCAAATTCGACAACACTTTCACCGCGATACTGCCCGCGACGAACACACCCACAACGATCATACGTAATAGTGGGAAATGCGGAAAAGTTTTGAACTCCATTGCAAGATATTTGCATGGTACTGTATAAGAGAATGACCCGCGAAGTTCTAAGAACGCTTTGCACATCGAATTCCTGGCTGAACGAGAAATTTACAACAAGAAACGAATCGCGATAACGAACATCCGGGTCTCAAAGGCGGAAGACGAGATCGGAGAAAATAATAATAATACAAAAGATTACCGGGGGCTCAATACTGTATCATTCTTAATTCAAAAAGTTGCGGAGCGAGACGCCATCAAATGTCCCATCATCATAGTCGAAGTGATTAGAGCTGATGGAAACAACACCGATCTCAAGAACGGGAGATTAACAAACATGAAATTACACCAAGTGAAAACAGCCTCAAGCTACCCTCTCTCACTTCAGCCCCCGGATCACAAAACAGAATCGGTTGGACCGACAGAGTAAGCTACCCAAACCACTCAACGTGCGTGCGAGTCCCCAACAGAGTCGAGCAAGCTAGAGAATTCCCATGACTCCAGAGTTTTTCCAACAGAAGGAAACCTCCTAGGAAATGGTAGAATACTCCCTGGCTATACGCCAGCCTTCGAGATATGGAACAGGACCTGAAAGGCCCCGAAGAAGAAGACAATTCGCGCTCCTTGCTGACAAAAGACAATTAGGCCCCATACCAGTTCCGACTTGATATCTTCCTTGATATTCTCAATAGGATAACATTTCAGCAGTTGGAAGAAGATGGAGACGGGGTACCAGAAAACAGAGTAGCTCTCCTTATTGGCAGCAACAGCCTAGGCAGAAAACCGATATTCCGACCCTTTATTAGAGGCCTATCAGCAAGGCATTTATCGAGAGAGGCGATCAAAGAGCTGGTGTATGCCCTTTTGATTTCGACTTCCGAAAAGCAGTCGAAAAGTCGGATTTAACGCTTCCGAACATAGAGCTATGAACTCGATGATGGACCATCTACTGTGAGTTGTCGAGGCAGAACATAGATTGATATGAGTCAGGCAGACACATATACCCGTCTACGTCTCCGGATACTTACCTTATTTCTTCCAGCTACGTGGTTGACCTAGATCCTTCTTTTATTCTTGCTCTTCCTGGGTCCTCTCCGGAGTCTCTCGACAGGGAGATGACTGAGCGCATGCTCAACCACCCCTTAGCCAAGAGTGAAATTGTGATTTTCTTTTCGCCGTAGTGGTGGAATTCCATGTCTATGTTTGGCTTATGGGAATAACGTTTTGGGTAGATGAAAGGATTAAAGAGGGGTTTACTTCAACTTATCCTCCCAGTCAGAGCCTCAAGTACAACGGCAGAATCGAAGACCGACGATTGGAAAGAAAGGTGAAATGAGGACCCTCGAAGACCATCAATGGACATCGCGGTTACGAGAAGATTCACCGAGATGCCTATTGACGCCACGTCCTTTGACGTGATCTACTCAAGACACACAAGTGCAATTGTCACGGGTTCTGATCACATGCAGCATCGCAAGACCGGAGTGGGGTTTCTTGAGAGCTGGTAGGAAGACCTGCTTGACGACGAACCGCATCCCGACATAGTAGCCCGCTACGACAATAACAACGACAACGGGGCGGACTGATTCCCGACCCACTTTTTTTTTGGGGGGGGGGGGGGTGAGGGGTGGAGTCGATGCAATGAGGTCTCCGTGGAGCCTTGCAGCTATTTCATTCGTATTCTTCAGATCTGTCCTAACGGAATCCATATCGAATGGTAACTTCTATACTTGTCGTGGACAACTATCGTAGGTCGGAGTGATAATCTCAAACGGTCCGGGGTCAATAGCTGATATGAACTACAAATATCTCAACCACTCCTCACCTCAATGTAGCCGCGATCTTGAGCTGTGCTGGTATCATCGCTTTTATGCGGACAGGCTACAACTTTCTCTACGCTCTCTTCATTATTGTAGCTTCTATGGGGTCTATTGTAGTCTTCCTACTCCAGTTGCTGGAATCTGGCGCCACCCTATTCTAGCAGAGCTGACGACATTAGGAACACGTCTGCCCAAGCCTCCCACTGCTATCTTGGCAAGCCATCAAAAAATGCACTGTACCTCTTGCTTAGAATACCTGACGTAGGCACTCTTGGTGTCCACGGTTGGACTTTTCTCTTCCAAATCGACGTACATGGTGCCTTGGCTCATCTTGAAAGACAGGGGTCTAATAATCTTGGCCAATCAAAGCATGTCATCTGAACCTTAAATTCCTCCTGATTGTTATGCCCATAAGCCACGAGGCAGTTTGCCACAATTCGAGCACCTGCGCCACGATCATCGCAACTGGCAGTTGCCCGCCGGTCATAGTTACGGTACACAATGATTACATTTGCTCCATTGATCTAGAAAATCTCAATCGATACTTAGGATAGTTGGTTTGTGTGTTCACGTATGTTTTGCCAAATATGGGCATTTGCAATTGACATGAGTATTGCGTTTATTTTCAACTGGTTGATTGCAGCGCCAAACGGACTTGGGAAAGTCGGCATTACCAAGTTGAATTGAAGTAAGGTAAGGTAGGGTAGTCAGCTGAAAGCTTCAATTCACCAGCAGCGCCCTTGTTTTTCATGAAGGCTGGGTGCGAGTCTCGGCAACAGCACGACCAAAGTAGGGAGCCGGCATTTCTTCAGGTTGTAAGGCCATCTGGTTGATAGAAAATGGACTCTGCAAGAAGCTGGTCATGGGGCTGTCGAACGTCGATGCTTTCGATGAAATTGTTGGGGTCTTGTCAAACTGCTATCTTATCGGCAACATTGGCTGCTACCAATTGGACTTCTTGAGTTCTGGGTACCAAGAGCACGTTGCCGAGGTAGCAACAGAGCCAATGGAATCACTGTACTGCGTAAGTGAAGTACGAGGATGGTGTGCCGCGACGATGCGAATTCGGGGTGGATGAAACTTTGGTAATGGTGTTGCTCGACATGGGTGCGGCATCCGCATTTTTAGCCGACATCGTCGTGATGTTTTTTGCCATTGGTCACAGTACGTCGTGCAAAATTCATTGGGTATGATCGTTGGCGTCGTTGTGCGCCCCGCGGCGGGCAAATTGACCTGCATTTGGTGCGCCGCTTCGACCATCATTGACTTGGCGAGTTTATGTCTGATGACGCTGCCCATCTGGCAAAAACGGGTTGTTGAGCAATCGAGGCTACGGATTTGAGTGGCAGACGCACGTTCTAGGCCGGAAGCTCAGAACGGGAAATCCATCACGGAAACACCCTCCTGAGAAAAGCACCGCTAACAGTAGAGATGTCACATGGAATGCTGTCTCTCATTTCACTGGCTCGGGTGCCGAGTCTTCATTTGTGAATCGTGGCATGAGCCGATTGAGACGTTCGTGGTGCTACGCATCAACAGAGATATTTTCGGTGAGTTCTGATGAGTGTAGTGTCTAGGCAGTCGTTTCGCTCGTCATCGGTCGCCGGTTGGCGAAGCTCATCGCACGATGTTGTTTACTTGCTCGTCGAGTTCCGCAAGTGATGCAGCGCAACAATGGCGGTGAGACGCTCACACAGCCTCAGCGGTAGCTAGCAGGCCGAAGTCGGAGTGTTGTGTCTCACTAACTCAGTAAGACCAAGACACCGAAAAATTGACATGTTGTACCAAAAGCTGTGTTGCACTGGGGAAATGATTGATGCTGGTTGGCGGGACACCATTTGGACAGGATGTACGCTCAAGATGGACAACCATCGTCGCTATCTCAAGGTTGAGATAGAGGTGATATCCGAGAGTACATAGAGATAGGCTCAGGCCGGGTGGGTTCGGGTTAGGAGAGTGGCTGTGTGTCTACACTACGTTGTTTAAGGCGACGGCAGGCGGTTAGGCTAGGAGATATAAGCCAGGGTATCATTCGCGGAAATGATCTCGAAAGTGCAGAATTGGGCCGCTCCTGCTTCTCCAAAGGCCCCTGACCCAGCTCAAAACCGATCCAAAGAACTTCAGTCACATGCTGTCTATGACTTCATCGTATATCGTGTGCAAGTGCCATCAGTGAGAGGACAGTACTCTGTGTAGGAGTGCCCTTATTGGAGCCACAAATCCATGATGTTGTCGGGCGAAAGCTTCATAGTATAGCATCGGACAGCGGCCAGCGATCCATTTGCGAGGTTGCCCAAGGACAGGGTCAAACAACCTAACGAATCCACGCGCCGGCCCCTCCGAAGTCAAAGAGAACCTACGTTTGTACGGATGACCCATAATACGCAGTGAGTGGTTGGATGTACTCCGTATGGATCTCCCTGCCAACTTCTGCATATTATCCAAGCCTTCGGGACAGGTGGATCTTTCGGGAGTGGTTCTGTCACGTGCCATCCTCGTGGTTGGTGACAGAATGATGACTCGGTACCCAAGCCTGCGTTGAAGCTTCCTTTTGCACCTTCTCCCTTTAGGAACCCCCTCAACTGCTGCATCGTACTTTTCCGTCAATCCAGCATGACCTCTGCACCGGAACCACAACAGTGATTCGTGCTACCCTCATCTGATTTGAGCCGTCAACCTACCCGACTTGCGTCGTTATCTTCGCGACGGGCCTTGTGGGCCAGGCAACCACGCCAAGATTGCAAGCCAAATTGCCCTGGCGAGTCCCCGGGAAATTACCATTCTTTATTTCGCTGCAAACTTTCTTCTGCGCCATCAATTCCTACGTTTCAACTCCCAAGAGAACACCTATCTTCGCCTGACCGCACTGACCCGACTGTTGTCTCTTGCCATGCCTATCGAAATGTACATGTGTGGCAGGGTCCACCGGAACTCACCGTTTTCACGTGACTTATAGGGTGATCCGTCGTGTGGGGTGGTGTCTTACTCCGTCTTCCGTACCGGATCATGGATGTCTTGACCGACACCACGGGCTGCTGCATTCTTCTTTTTTTTTTTTTTTTTTTTTTTTGTACACCCTGGGATTTCTTTGTTGTGCCAATGGACGGCATTGTCCTCTTCAATTGGTCTCCCTAACGACCGTACGGTAGTTTTCCAACCAAAAAGGACATGCCCAGCCCAATCATTCCCACGACAGCATCCTCCACACCACCCTCCGCCTTAGTCCGCAAGTTCAGTCGAATCCCCATCGCTCGCCTCAGATCTCAACAGTGAACGTGATCAAGTTCGGTCTAGGGTTGCAACCTATATGCAGAGACGCCTTACGAGAGACAGCCTTTGAAGTAGGCTGGAGGGTTCCGGGAAGAGGCAAAGACAAGGGGACGTTGCTGCAGAAGACAAGTCATAAAGGGGCCCGCGTGAGCTCCATCGAAGCTATGGTACTTACTCCCGTCTTTCAACGTCCACCCGACTTGCAATCTAGCTCTTTGCAATTGCTATTCACCCGGCCACTGACGGCTCGTTCCACCAATAGCCACCACGAAAAAAATACGCCTTCGTTTGGACTTGCGTACGTATTGCATCTTGCCCTGCAGCTGGCTCAATCCATAGGAGGGCTGAACACGCGACTCACTTCTCAAGCATTACAAGACGCTAACGTTGTCTCTCGACCATAGTGTTATTGCGGCCAAGGCGGCATGACAGTCGTAGTCGATCCTTGTGTCAACTGCCGCTACCCACGCTGCTCCCGGTGTGCCGTCACCAGAGTCCACGTCCGCCATCACGACTGCAGGCATCCAGACCACTGTCATAATCAGAACACGACTTAGAAAGACAACTCTGCTGGACGAACACAATTTGTATCAAGAGTTGGGAATTGCCAGGAACGGCCCCAAAAAAAGCGATTTCATTGCAAGGATTCTGTACAACATATCACAAATACCCTGTCGAAGCGTGGCTAGGTCAAATATCGGGAGTTGGAAAGTTTTGAAGAAGACGAAATATCAATGGTGTAAACTCAGTCGTGGTTCAGCTTGAAGTGAGCATAAATCTCTTCACAATATTAGTCGTGGCTATGCCAGATTGGTCTCGGCAGACTGCGGCAAACCTAAGAATTATGATATTCTGACTCAATTTCAGGTGATCCATCATCAAACGTAGCAATGGGCGCGTCTACGGGACCGATCGTTTCGGCCTCAGCCTCGCCGCATCCATCTCCGTTGTTAGAGCCGAGAGACGCTCAACGCACGAACGAGAATGGGCAGGGGCAAGTTGGCGCATTTCTCTGGCCGCAAAGGTTCTTCACGCGGCAATCCATCTCTAGAAACTGGGAAAATTCACCATATATCACGGCAATTCTCAAAAATACGAATGTGCCTCTGACACTGGAAGAACCTGGGGAAGAGGACAACATCTTTTTCCTGCGGACGGAAGAGAATTGGGCAGCAGATAAATATCGCGTCGCCCCGCTTATCGCCTTCCTCCGGGGTGCAACGATAACAGAGCTTCAACATGGAGACATCAAAGACGTGAGAGGCAATGGAAATACTGCTATAATCATCGATGGCAACATTTCACATGGTAAAGGACGGTTCCGACCATACCTTGGTAGCTTATCACCACTCAGGCTATTGGAGGAGCTGCGAGCAAAGGTGAGTTCATTACAGCATCTTGAGATCTTCGGAGCTTGTAGCCTCTAGACATTGTGGGAACCAATTCTGACCAGTTGTAGCGCTACAACGAAAACCCTACTACTGCAGAAGAAGATGGTTTCATTGATGCTGAACGACGTCTTATGTGAGTGATATCAAGACTCAAGTGTAGGAACTATGAGGGAAAATTAAGATGCGTCAAACTTGCGAGAATGCTGATGGTTTACTGCAGCTATATTGTGGACCTGAGTCGTTGGAGTGTTCTTGCACTCGTTGGGTCCGCGCCAGAATCGCTCTATCGGCTTTTGGATGACTTTTTGCTCAACTATGTCTTGTCGAGGTCCTCCATTGGCGTCCATTTCTCGGTAAAAGCTTGGAGTCTTGGTCCGCTGACGTTCATTGTATTATTGCTAACTTCCTTCTTACCTAGACGGAGGGTCCTGAGACTTTTGCCTTGGAGTTTTCGCTCCCTTACTCGGTATGGCGTACGTCGAAGACCTTGATGCACGATCATCGATCCATCGATTCAGACAGGGAGCATCTGAGGTTCTCTGAAGATGTTACTTTCCTTCGAACCCTTTCCGGCTATCGGGCTGATGTTGAGGAAGTCGACGCTATCTACTCGAGTCACATCAGCTGCATCGTAACTGGTTATGATCAGTCTCGATGGACATGTATTCTGCTGTGTGAGGCCTGGTTCGAGGTTGAAATCATTGGATTGCCAACGCCCGACAGTATCGCACGCTACGAAGCTGAACTGCAAGATGTCGAGGAGTCAATGGGTGTGGTCAAGCTTTCGGACCCCATGTGTCGGGGAAAAGGCGATATGTCCAGCTCGACAGCCACATTGTGGCTACCTCGGTCGTATTTTCTTCGCGTCATGGAGATACGCCTGAGTCAGATACACAAAGAGTGGATGGGCGTATTCGATAACATCGAGAAGCAGATCAATGGCATCGTAAGTTCTTGACAAATTCGAACATAATGTCGATGCGCAAGAGCATGACTTATCTAGTAATCAAAATAATAACTGCTACAGACTGAGCGGCACCAGAATCTTCTACGAGAAATCCGCACGTTGGCTCGCGATATTCAAGCCACTCCAGCATTGATTAATGCGTTGGATGTCCTTGACGACTTTGAGGCGGGGATTCTAAGAGCGGAAAAGATAGTAAAGGGCCTGTCGCAGAAAATGGAAGACGTTGTTTCGAGCGGTGACTCATTCATGACAACGGACGTCAACTACTTTTTGAACACGGAAGGCCGAATAGGCGACGCACCAGATTGTATGCCTCATTTATCGCAAATTCGATGGATCTTCAATAAGCTTCGAAAGCTACGCCGGAGGCTCGGGGGTTTGGAAACATCATGCGAGGAAATGATTAAGGGCTGTTCGACTTCGAGAAAAGAGGTAAGATACCTTCACTGCTTTCGCACGATGCCATCGAAGGTGCGGGTGGACATCAAAAAGGCTGATGTTATGCCTAGACCTTGCTTCGCATCGAGCTGAACAGAGCCGTCGCTCCCCCTCCTCCTGCCTCGACTATAGCTGCCGTTGTTGCGCCGAAGCAGTCACTGGCAGTCGGAGCTGCGTCTTGGATGACAATCGTAAGTTCTGGCCACATGTTCGCTGTTTTCTCACCCTAACGTGATTTGGGAATAACTAATTGGCATTGGCTAGACCTCCCAACCGCTTGTCAATATAGCAGCTGTCTTTAGCTGCGACAACATCATTGGCTACGATCGTACACCTCGGAATTTTGTGATCTCTCTTGTGTGGATGTATCTAGGCATGGCAGCTCTCGTTCTCATTTGCATGGAACTGTCGAATGGTAGATGGATACGCTCCATTCGCGCCTACATTTCAACATCCAGCCACGAAGAGACGAACACAACTCCTCGTCAAATTAAACGAAGCCCTACTTTGACCATGAAGCTCATGGATTGGTGGCAAGGGAGTGGCTTCACTGAGCGCCCGTCTTTCAGAACGATAATTTCACAAGTGCCACCTCCGACGGCAAGGATTGAACTCACTGTTTTGAATTCCTTGGGTGCGCCCGACTGCAATGAGCAACATGATTGTCCGGGTGAGGTAGGTCCAATTGTTCCGGGTGCTGTTCATTTGAGGGCTGGGCCCTAGACAACGTTCCTATTACATAGTATACCTGCATGGATATGGCCTGCATGGATATGGCCTGCATGGGTATCACGGGCTCAGCTTCTACGTGTGTATCTGGGAAGCCCATCTTGAGATGGATCTCAGATTCTAAATCATTATTGTGCCGGCCTAGGGGGCACGAGTGGGGGATCTTTTAGATGATTACCCAGCTGATGGATGGATGGGGACTTAAAAAGACCTCGAGGTAAGCATCGTAGTTGAAGGAATTAGGCACGTACACCTTTCGCCTACTTTCGCTCACTTTTGTGTAGACAAGCGAGGGATAGTGACACGTAGCACCTTTCAAGTCTGACCTTGGCATCTTACGTGAACTTTGTACTTATAGTTATGTAGCGTGGGAATTCTAATCTTCAACACCTGATCCTTACAGAAGCAGAACCTCAGCCCGTTGACTGGGTGTCTCATTTGATGAGTGAAACAAAGAGGTCATGCATATACTTAGCACGCTTCAGAGAAGTGAAAGCCGGAAAGTCTGGATAGGACTTCAGATCATGATACTCTTCTACTATAACTGGCCCTCAAGGAGGATATCTGAGAGTTATCTAGGACAAATCGTTCTGGGACACATGGAGATTGTGTGAACATTAAGGGTTCTTGGTGCGTAAATCGGTACTCTACACATCGTGGTATGTAATTTTGAGCGGATGATAGTTATGTCGCTCGCAAGCCACACGGCGGGCGAAAGGGCGTCTCGACCGCAACTGAGCCAGTCACCAAGCCGGTATCACGCAAGGTAGAGCTCTAAACCGCAAATCTGACAGGATATCTTAGGATTAGATTGAAATGAAGGCAGAAGCTTGATGACGTATATGGCTGTGCTAAGATGATCTCGGCAATCTAGGTACGCCTATGTTGGATTACGAGGTAGAAAAGGGTCTAGGTAGACGGTTAAGTAGGGGAAGCAGGTAGGCGGTTTAGGCCCGTATAATGGACCCTTTTACTTACTTACTGGGTTCTGCCAGGTATATTTGTAAAGGGATTATGGGCTCTATTTACGAACTTCCCCTTTTGTTTACGTGTAAAATAGACCAACTCATTGAATTTATTGCGACCGAAAGGTCTGACCTGTCTATGTATATACCAACAATCTATTTTACACGTAGGCAGACCAGATAGACTGAGGTAATCGCGAATAAATCGCGAATACATTCTGAGGGAAGTTATAATGAGCATTAATGCTTAGTATTATTTTCGAATAAGTGAATGAGATCGGAGCACGCAACTTCGTCGGAGGACGATAATTGCTGGAAGGGCGTTTGGCTAGTCGAGATTCTGCTCGCCGCTCGAGATGCTTTGCCACCTAGATTATTGTTACTTAGCGTCGCCATCTGGCTTATGGGCAATAGTCTCAGACTAAGAAAGAGCAGTCTACGTAACCAAAGACTTGAACAGTGTAGACTGGATAGTGGCTATAACTAAGTATGTTCGTGCATTGCATGTGACCGAGTGAGGTGGCTTGGATCGGCCCGCGTACAAGTTGATGATGCCTAAGCGGTTGAGGCAATGGCACAAGCGCCCGACCACGGACTAGCTGTCTGGATTTATGTCATTAGAAATTGATTACGAAGCAAGTATCGTAATCAACCATATGACCAAGACGGACGGAACGTTTTCATGTGTATCGTAACTGATACTTGTATCACTTCCATCAATGACGATGAGTTCCGCGGTCTGCACTTATGCAAGTGGCTGATATGCAAATAGACAGATATGGGTCTAGGTGAAATCAAATTTATAAGAGAACTTGCGGTCGCAGGAATGCATAATTCAGACAAAGTATTGGAATCACCCGTCGGGGGATGCTCTCAAGGGAGATTCACACAAACCTAAGGTGCCGTTAGCCAGGAGATAGGGAGAGGCAATGTTTGTGCAGAAGCAAAATGCGACACTGTGTACCTAACAAAGTGTTAATGGGGGAGTCTTTTGTTGTATAGTATCATTTTGCCCCCGAAGGCCATGTGAGGAATCGCCAATAATCCCTTCGTGCCATTGCCAAATCCGAATTCTCGGCGACTCCTGGTTCTCTTCAAACCTCCCCGGACCATGAGACAGCCGACGATCTTCGCCAAAGAAAGGGTTTCCTTACCCTAACATCATCGATCTAGGGAGTTGCCATGTGGACAGATGCATGCTTGCGGTAAGTGGTCCAATCATTACCGGCTTGAATGCTTCCTTGGTCCGAGGCATTCCTTGTGTCGATACGCCACAGTCGAAACCAAGACCCGCATGACAAAGGGCCCGTATGTTTGATAGTTGACTCGGACCGGTGTCCCGCAACATGCTACATCGCATTAGTAGGTAGTGAAAGTAATGTACATGTGCTCTTTCTGGAACAATGACCCACCCAGACCATGTCACAATGCCATCAACAAAGACCAATAAAAGCCTCCCCCTGCCAATCTTATGGTCGCACGTCGTCCGCACTCGTCTCACATCCATATCTCTATGAGTTCTGTAGCCTATATCCCACTAGGCCCAGTTTGATTGTTTCAGCCTGTGAAAATTGATCAGCTTTTCAGCCCTAAATCCTGGGAAGACGTCGCAATAAGCTTTGCCATTTGGCTGCGAAGTGTGGACACCCCTTGTCTCCCACCCCCCACCTCCAAACCCGCAACAGCACAGCAAACCAAAAGTCCTACAATGGTAAACTCGAGTCCTAGAATGAGGAATAATGACCAAAGATCATCGCATTGTTTCGTCTGCGGGGAGATACTAGAAGATACTTCTCTGCTATCTGCTCATTTTTCAAAATGTGATACCAATTCGGGGGGTGTCTGTCGGATTGGAAGTCCAATTCGACCTCGGCGTACGGCAGCCCGCGCAGGGGCCAATTACGGCCCCTACTTACGATTATCGCGGCCTGCCCAACCTACGGTTAGAACCTCCTTTTTACACCTACGCAGAAATTCATATAGTTCAATTGATCTCTTCGTCAACCCACCGTTCGAACCAATTACCCTGTAATAGGGATACCAACAGTGTCAAATATTTAGTTGGACCTTGTGGACCTTGTCAACTAGATAACTCTTCAATACCGTGTAAAAACGGCAGATCTAGTCGCGTCTGTCTATAGGAGCCACAGACAAAATTTGTGGTCGGTCATACTGGCAGTATGTTTTACCGACATTGATGACAATCCGACAGCTAATGCATGCTACGTGCTCTTAAACAAGTTAAACTCGGTGGCCGTATAAGACACGCTGATATAGTTCCTTTGCCCAGATTACATATCTAATGGAAGTGGAGAATTCCAGAATGTCATTCATAAAAGAATCAGGGATGAGAGAGAAATTGGCATTTCTGGGTGAGGTCACTTCAGAATGGTGGAATGTTCTGTTCGCCCATGGTTACAAAACACGACAGATATTGTGGAAGGTAAGACATTGAACACATCACTTTGTTTTCCCCAATCGTTGTCCGTTTCCTAAATGCTGGCCGCATGTAAGCAAGATGTCGCGTGCAAACAAACGGCCAGGCATGAGTCTTATGTCCTTTTGACAGGAACCACACACCGTGGTATTGACCCACAAGCCAGCCACCCCGTGAGCGCGTCACGCAAAATGCAGGAGTTGCATTAGCACCGTGTAACCTTCCATTACTGAAGCAATTGTGGACAGGGCGGTGTACACCTAGTTTGTTGAAGCTACACGAAGATATCGTAGTCATGGAGATTCCCTTGGGTAAGAGCAAGGAATCAAGCTACACGTCAGTTTTAGTGATAGAGTTCTGCGCCCGCGATTGCACCATTCCTCGGCCCCAAGAACGAGTGGCCGCTGCTGTGTGTCCGATAAAAGTGTGTGCTGGCGGTTTCGCCTCAGTCGGTAAAGACGGTCTCGCCTCGTTCGGCCATCTGAGGCTATATGGGTACCAAGCAGCAACGGAATTTGGCACTGGTTTGATAAAACATGTCGCTACCCTTATGGATACACCTACACACCACTAGGTATGAGCATACGTTTAAGGCGGTGCCGAATGAAAAAGCACAGAGCCGGCAGTGAGATCCCTACATGTAGTCAAATCAGCAGCTTCGGCCGAATCTCTGTTGCTCCCCTAGATGTTTCTCCCAATATTGATTCTGGCTGGATGCATGGCCACGGAAGAGAATGATTCAGCACAAAAGCTGCGATAATTACAGCGCAGTCACGCAAGCTATTGATCCCTTGACTGGCAAGGGAGCGCCACAGAATATTTCGAATGAATGTTTACCGAGCAGGTATTGATTCATTTCGTTTAGGTGGAAGCCCGCTTCGGTGGTCAATTCGTACTTAGCCATCATGTGTTTGCCACGATTATCAATGTGTATTTCTATTTGAACAGCGGGAGCCACTAGAAGCTTTGCTCGCCCCCTTTTGAAGCAGGCAGCCAATTTTCAACAATTGTCCACCTTCTCAGACGACGGCATTGGCCTTTGCTACTGCACGATCACAGCCTCAATTTCTTTCTGCCTTATGCATCAGTACCCAAACCCGGCACCTACATATCACCTGCAACCAATCGAAAGCGAGAAAAAAGTCACCGATATTTGAAGTTTGACGATGTACCGGACTTTTGGCAGATCATGGTAGATAAATCATCCAATTCTCCGACTTCTTCATGCAGTTTCCCTAATCTGACGTTTTTACTTCTTCTTCAGCCTCCCCCCCGAAAAGAATACTTATTCGTGTGGACATGTGTATGTTCTCTTCCAACAGATTTATTCGAAAGATCAAACTCCATCCCCCCAAGCTGCACGATCTGACCAACGCAGTGCTGCTGTGGCCAGTCTGGCATGAAGGTAGTCATTGACCCATGCGTCAACTGCCGCTACCCACGTTGTAAGGAATGTCGCGTTGAGAGAGTGCGAACACGGTAGCAACATTACACCTGAGGACTTTCACAATCTTCTTCCCATACCGAATTCATTTCTTTCCCTCAACTTGGAGGTGAGAATGATTACAAGCAGGTAATGTACGGGTAGAGGGTTGACAATATGATTACAGATTCTACAAGCATCCTCGACACGGCGGCGAAAGGCACTGGCATCAAAAATAGAACCTCCGTAGATCAGTAGCGCTTAGAGTTGAACCGTGAGCTCTTTCAAGCCAACCAAGACCGCAGCTGTGAAACTGATGGATGTAAGGTTAGTGATTATCTTGCTTCATGAAGATATTTGTTGGAATGATGTTATCTTTGGCTTGGCATTTCCAGGCTTCAGATTGTATTACGTTGTGTGATGTACTTATCTAACTTGCTTGAAGGGTTGAAGGCCACAAAGCATCCTAATGTCGGACGATAGCCAGCTTACTGTGTCAGCTGATACGTCCGCATCAGACACCACCGTCACAGCCCCTTCAAGCAGTCAAGTCTTACAAACGATTCGCAGTGGATTCGATTGGCCACTTCGATTCTCCAAGAAAGGGAAAATTTCCGAAGGGTTTGAGAATGAACCATGGTTAAGCTACCACGCAAAGTTTGACTCGCCCAGAGATGCTATCAGCTTTTTCCTCGGCTTCGAAGATTATGACGTTAGATATCATGGGCGTGTTCGGCCTATCCTCGACATCTGCCACAACATGGACCTTCACGACCTTGCTAGCATCGAACCTTCCGATGGAGAAAAACAAGTGGCTTGGCTGATAGATGGCCAGCTAGTTAATGACAAGATCAACTTTCGGGAGTGCCTGGGGGCATTGACTGCTCGCCAACTTACTGAAGCTTTGATGAAACCAGTCAGTTCACAATCTCTTGCTACATTGTTCGCTTTTGGAACTGCTTCTAAAATTTTGGGTAGCGCTATCGCGTTCCTCTTCCAGTTCAGAGCAAGGGAGAAGGAAATGCACAAGATATGATCAGTAATGAGGAAGTTTTAACCTTCGATGCTGAACGTCGCCTGCTGTAAGAACCTGCCCTTCGGTACACTTTTACAAAAAGACATGAAGATGGCTGAATGATTTCTTAATGGGTCGGAACCTAACGCTTATGCTAGTTATCTCACGAACCTTGATTGTTGGACCATTCTTGCGCTTGTGAAAACTGCTCCATATTCTCAAGCCAAGCTTTTGGGGAACTTCTTCCACAAGCACATATGTTCCAGGACTTCCATAGGAGTGTCATTTGAGGTGGGTTTCGATCTGGACTTTGAGGGCTCAGCTTGCGCTAATAGGAACGTCTTCTTAGCCCAATGGCCCTCAAACCTTCTTCCTTGAGTTCCACTTGCCGTTTCGCGTCTGGCGAATAACGAAACATCTCCTCAAAGACGAAAGAATCAAAGGCTCGGACAACGAAGCCCTTAGATCGTCGCGAGATGTTACTTACTTAATGCCTCACGAAGAAGGGGACGAAGGTGATGACGTGCATGGCCTTTATTCAGGTCATATCGCTTGTTCGGTCAGCGGTCATGATTACTGGAGATGGACAGCTCACTTCGCGATCGACACCTGGTTTGACGAAACCAATGGTATAAATGACCAGGTTACTCGTTATGAAAATGACAGAGAAGACGGCGTCGAGTGGGATCCTTGCAGCGGCGGGCAGGACGACGCTAGAAAGCCGTTCTGGTTTCCACGAATTTGGTTTCTCCGTATCTTTGGCATTCGGCTTGACCAGATTAAGGATGAGTGGGAATCTATATGCCTCCACTTGGGGCAGAATCTCGACAGACAGGTATGATATTTCAATTTAACCTTGGAGCCTGTATCATGGATGACGTGTGGTTTAGGATCGTAAATATAAGATCCTTCTCCACGAAGCACAATTATCACCTGAGCTCGCCGCCGCCGAGGATCACAGATTTCGAGTCAACGCTTTGGAGAAATCGGTGCTGGAGTCCAGAGATGTTCTCCAAGATCTCATCAGTGTTATTCAGGAGACGCTAAAGGCTGGGGCGTCTTTCCTTTCTACAGAAGTGAACTTCTTTCTCAACTTTGACGGACAGCCGGGAGATGGTTCAGAGTGTTACCCGTATCTTAGCGAGATTCGGCGAATGTTTAACGTGTTAAATCAGCTCGGGTATCGACTAGAAAGCTACCAGGCAAGGTGCAGCTTCCTGATTCAATATTGTGAAGTTTCCAGGAAGAACGTAAGGCCTTTAGGTGTCCATTGTATTGGAAGCACAATTGTTGACAACAAGGCCTTAGAATCCTCAAGTCTCCTCGTCAACATCGGACGAGAGGTTCGCTGCCAGTTCTGTGAGCACGTCTAGTCCGTGTTAAGATGAAAAGATATCGTAACTGACAACACAAAGCGTGGCTTGTTGCAAGTACAGGTTGACATAGAGAACCTCCGAAACGTTAGCTCTCTAGAATGCTGCAGAAAGACAGTCTTTCGCTAACAAAGTAGTAGGAACTGATACAAGTGAAGCTGAAAAACGATCAACTTCTAGCTATCGGGCCCGGGGATGTTGAGGAAGTTCGAGTGCTCGCATTCAGCACCCTTGTAAGTTCATGTTATTATTCAGAGCTCTCATTGCGCTCTCTGGCAGTAGATCTAACGAACGACTAATGGCATGCCCGTAGCTTACGCAGGCTTTCTCGCAAACCACCGCACTTTTCAGCGCAGACGGTGTCATCGCCTTTACTAGAAGCTGGCAAACATTCCTGATATCCCTTCTCGTCGCGTATGGCATCAATCTTACGATAGGGACTGCGTTTCTCATTTGGATTCGGAGAGCTCGTCACAAAATCCAGGCTGCCTTGAAAGCAACGCCACTAATACCGCCTGTCGCGCAGCCAACATCGAACCCCAGCGCTACTTCGACTGTCACACTGAGGTCAAGCAGCGAGGCTGTGACTCAGACCATCGCTACACATACATCTTCAACGAATTCTGATGAAAGTGGCCTGACGATATATACGCGACGTCGATTCTCAGACAGACTCTGGTTGAGCTATAGGCAACCGCAGAGGGTGGATGATGTTGAACTAGGGAACAGGAATGTTATTGAGGAACTGACATAACCCTGGAGAAATTGCGTTGCAAACGCTACGCCTTTTTCGGCTTTTAGCTCCCGATTTATTTGTTGCCTTGCTTACTTTCCTTCATGAATCTGAATTCAAGGAGGTAGATACATTGATTGATTACATTGATAAGAAGCTTCTGTCCACATGCTGAAACAGAGTCGTCATCATTCCCGGTCCCGGCGGGGGGGGGGGGGGGGGGCACGGGCCATGGAGCGGTGAGCATTCCGGATGTCCCGGGAGCCCTCCGCGAGTCCTGAGGGCAGAGGCTAGCGCTGAACTCAATAGTGAGAACTCAATAGTGAGATTCAACAAAATTGAAATGTACGGATAGCTGAGTCCTTTATAGACACCTTCGGGCGGTTCTACGTATGTTGATTTGAGCGCGTTACTCTCGGTATTCAATCAATGTTTTGCACTGTGAGCCCTGCGGTAAGGTAGGTTGCTCCGAAATGGTCGCCACACTTCATTTCCTGAAATTTGCGTTCTACATTCATGACTTCAAGCTGCTGGAGCTCATACTAAGTATCTTGTCTGAATCAGATCTCAAGAACGGCGTTTGGAGGCTGTATTCCAGATGCATGCTTCAAAAAGTCCATCTTTATCCCGACCAGAATTCTCACTCAATGAAGTTGAGATTCTGATGAGGGTGGGAAGAGTCCGACTCGCCAAGGCCAGGCGCGACTAGTGGAAGCTGAGCCCCTATATGCCTTTCGGGGTATCTTCCAATTGCTGAGGTGGTGATCTTAAGGCCACCAGTAAATGCGTGCTACCTATAAGGCTATATTTAGTAGGGTGCTGGGCAAGCAGAAGAGCCCCAAATGACCTGACAGTAGGGGCACTCAGGCAAAGCAGTCCCACAAGACCAGGGTACCACAGTACCGGTTGCGCCGTCACCTACCGCCACGGCTGCGCCCTCTACCATTCCCCTTACCAACATCATTGAGCGCTGGCGATTAGAATGAAGCATCAGTACCTCCTAGCCATTGGTGGCTTATCTTCAAATCATTCTAGAACCTTGAAGTGCTCTAGTTCAATCTGCGTTTGAAAAATGATCACAACTGTGTGTTTCCTTGTCAACCTCCATCATCCGTGGAATAAAGTACACAGTACTTCCAAATGTTGAAGAAACGCGTAGTTCACTGCTGGACCAGGGATCATGGATCAATTGCGACCTCAACAAGAACACACCCCTTTGACGAACGGATAGTTCTGGCTTCTCTTAGTCATCCAAACTTAACTCACCCGCCGGCGAGTTCAGTGTGAGCACGTTGGCTGCGTCTTGGTCGACGAACCTCAACCTCCACAAACATCAGCTACCATCGGCTTGTTTGATATCTCCATTGCGCAAGTACAGTCTCGTCCACAAAGGCAGGGCATTTACTTGACTTGGCCAGTCACGATAGCAACATATACGACCTCAAAATAACTTCCAGCCAATACTGATCATCCTGTGGCACACTCTTAAGCCTCATCCAAGTCAAAGTGTTTCACCAATTGCGTTCAACAACTTCCTCAGGGCGATGCAATCATTCATGCAAAAGAAAGAGCCTCGCATTTCCTAGAGAAGGGAAAAGTCGGAACCAACCTGCAGGCGAGAAGTGATACAGAGTCAGCGTTACCCCACGTCCAAAGGGCCAAGGCAAAATGGTACTCCATTCTCTCTCCGACATAAGAACCTCTACCCCTCCACAGTACTCAGTACAACCTTCCCAATCCATCACACGCAGCCACTGACTCTACTTCCCTCTCGCAGCCCTCCAGGACGAGATATGCATTCATGTGGACTTGCGTAGGCGTCTCCCCAGGCCTCTGGTTCTCATTGAGATGCGATCATTACAGGCACAAATGCTGACAGCCCATTTGACTAGTGCCGCTGTGGGCACGGAGGGATTACTGTGATTGTTGACCCATGTCACGACTGTCCGCACCTGCGCTGTGCCAGCTGCAGGGTTGAGAAAGTGCAGATAAGGCAGCAGCAGCAACAGGCTCCAGGCCAATCCTAGCAGAGTTCAGTATAACCTCCGAGCCTGGTTTTCTGGAACCTAGACATCGCATCGTTCAACCACCCTAGTGCAGTCTGAGCATGATACAGAGGTGCCACCATTCGGGCTGAACTGCGTAGGACTGTGCGACACCGCTTGTGAAACATTGTATCGTCTTTTCCGTTCACAAGTGGCGTTCAGATTATTGTAGTTGTTCGCACAAAAAAAATATTCGGAGAGATAAATCCAGGACTAGCTTGTATCATGTATGCTATCGAGTGTGAAATGGTGTTGACATATACGTCTTAGCTTTTCTTCAATTCCAGTCCTAAGGCGATTCTTTTGTTCGTGAATCTGAGAGAAATGAACCTGGGATGACCTAGTAAATGAGGTAGGTGCTATTCGTTGTAACGTCTCGTAGTTGTATTGTATGTACGTACATGTACCGACGCTACCTAGGTATTCGGCACCCGATGGAATCTGTGCAGCGTTTAAACCTTGGCCTCGACAGATTCAGTAGTATAGTACACATGCAGTCTGCGGTAGCGAATCCTGAAGGATTTAGTCGATGGCTTGAAGTTAAGACCGCGTGATTCCCATTTGCAATGGCGACTTTCATTTCTAAGGTGACCATTTGTTGACTCAATCACAGTCCGTAGATCTGTTCTTCTAAGCATTCTCAAATGACAAGGGAAAGAGACCTGAGGTTGTTCTGGAATTTCGATCGGCATCCTGTATGATTCCCTTGACCGCCGTGTTCCTTTTTGCCAGGCCCGAAGACGTTTCGATTACCTGGAGACCCCTACCCCTGCATCACCGAAGATCTTAGACCCGTAGACTTTAAGACCCTGAAGCCTCATGGTTCAGGTAGTCTCGGCATGAACAGAAAGACACTCTAAGCAGCCGAGAAACGTGTGAGAGCTCAGGGAACACATTGTGGGGCTAGGTGTAAAAGTCGGAGGCGTTGGGCATGGGCTCTTTTTACACTTGACGCTTGGGGTATGTCGAATACCTCAGTCATGGCTTTAAGAACTATAATTGTCTGGATCAATCGTGAACTCTCAGACAAATTGAGAATAAGCCTGGTTATCAGGATTCTTGGTCTGCTCCCCTCGCCAAAAGTGCATGTGGCCTCTGGGTTCGAATTCATCGCTCGTTGGGTTATGGTCAAAATATAATTATGACGACACGCAGCCATCGGATCAAGCGACATCATCAAAGCAGGAATGAGTTTCACGACATGGTCCCCAATATTCCGATTTAGGCTAGCTCATCTCGGGCGAAGCTGCCTCGGAGCCTGCTGGTCAACCAAAGTCAGGCAACCTATCAAAGACGAAGTCCAATAATTTCGACAGTTTCGATATTAACCAGTTATACTAATCAAGTGACAGCCCCGGATGAACGATAAGGGTAAGCCAACTACAAGCTCCAAGGCAACGCATGTATATCTGAATCGGGTCGTCATGGCACTTTCGCGAATTTTACTGGCCAGGTTAATGCATATTTGCATGTTACCTAGGTTGATTCCCCGCGTTGCCTGCTTCAAGCTCCTTACCCTGCTAAGTGCACCTTTGGTAAATGACGAATGGTAAACGACGAGAAGACCTTACACAGTTGGAAGGAGAGGGCCACATTGCTGCGTGGAGGTGAACTCATGATCAGAGACGTGGCACTCAATCATTCCAGCGCACATACCCATTCAAATCAATCAAACAAATAAGTCAAACAAACAGTCAAATATAGGAATTTCAGCGAGTCAAACAATCAAATATTCCAGCCCGTATATTTGATATATTTGATCAAATCTAGAATCTAAGGGTGGACCCGAATATACTAATAATATACCGAGAAAATACGGAAAAAAAGGGGCCGCCCGGACCCGGATTCGAACACCGGACTTCCGGAATTAAAGTGGAGCCGCCCCAAAAAATTCGGCACCTACGGCGCCGTATCCACTACACTATTTACACCTCTAATATTCACCTTCACTTTATGATTACTTATCACTCAAATCAATCAGATATTTGTCAAATTTATCAAATAATCAAATATGGCGCGAGAAATCAGCCAAACAATCAAATATGAACCTCATATTTGATTTGTTTGTTTGGGTATAAGCGCTGAATCATTCGTTCTTGTGCAATCACGGCATTGCTGCACTTTCTACCGAGACCCCTTCTGTCAGTTCGTGGACCATCTATGATAGACTCAAAATACCTTGGGTGGCAGCGTAGGTAGGTACGCCGTTCCGTTCTGGCCGACTGAATAAAGGCAGTGAACGACAAGGAAGAATTCAGGCTTGTCAGGCTTGTGATACCGCACAGAAGGATTATCGAACGTTCTCAAACTGCATGCAGTAGATTTTACAGGATACGCAAACTAAAAACACGCCTTGTTTCGATAGGTACTTTGAAAACCCAGGGCCCCATTTGTCGCCCTGGATTGCAAAACACTCCTCTACTCAGATTCTCGGCCCCAAGCCCCGATTAGCTACGCCTCAAAGGCAATGCTGGGGACGGCAATTCATGTGAGGTACATGGGGGGAAGAAGACGAAACTAAATGGTGCCTCATGTGACTGTAGGGTATGATGGATGCGGATGTTCAAAAATACGCGTTGTTCCTGCCGGCTGCCCCTACCTTCAACCGTTCGTAGGCACGTCTTCCGCAACTTCCTCTTCTCCATCAAGAATATGCTTCGTTTACACCTTCATATCATAAGATTCTCGTCGTAAAATCTGACGAGGTCTAGCCTCAAGGGACCTGGGATACCTCACCTTACTTGATGTTGCTCCTTGTATCATCGAGTGTCTATTTGATATACGGCAAGCCGCCTGTAATTTTGAAGCAGGTATGTTGCCCCTCACTCTCTCTTGGGTCGGTTTATTTCTTCATTAGCGGTAATGGTTGTATTCACAGAACTGATCTTGCCTGTAGCTTTTAATCCGCCTATCTAATCCTTGCAAAGGTTTGATGCCCCATCAGCCAGGCCTGCCATATCATGAGAAACGACAGCCTAGCCAGACTTTCGACGAGGAGTGAGGCCGTGAGGAGCCCAGATTTGCCCGCGCCGCTACGTCGTACGCCGTCTCGAGACAGATCAGTACATTTATCGGCCACACCGTTGCAACTTCAAGCTTTTTCTTGGCCTGAGAAATTTCTTGTGCGACAAACCTCCTCCGATTCTTGGGAGAACACACCTTGGATGCACGCAGGTCTCAGAGATATTTGTAGTCCTATTGAAGACGAAGAAGAATTTACGTCTTGTCTTAAGACTGAGCATAACTGGGCCGCTGATGAGATCCGGCTCGAAACTATTGAGAATCTAGTTGAAGGTGCAACTCTCAAAAAACTGCTTTGTCGGGACGATAGCATCCCCGAAACCAAGACAGCGATATTGATTGACGGTAACAATATCAACCTGCAGCCAATACTTAGGCCATTCCACGGAGGCTTGAGCGTACCGGATCTCATGAACGAACTGTTGAAAACTGTAAGTAGCGGAACGTGTGAAGCTTCAACGGAGGGCTGATGGATATCCAGCGCTATAAAGAAGTTCATGAGGAAGAATCTTCACCATGGGAAGCAAACGACGTTCCAGATGCGGAGAGGAGATTGATGTAAGTTCAAAGCCACCGCTTCATCCACATAGCGTCAAATGGCTAAAAGCACCCTTTCTGGTAAGCTACATTGTGAACCTCAGTTCCTGGGCTGTTGTGGGCCTGCTTGGGTCTGCTCCAGAATCGTTGTTTCGTGTTCTGGGCACTCTAATGGATAACTATATTCGCTCCATAACATCTCTGAGCGTCTCCTTCTCGGTGAGTTGGCATATACAGTCAGTTGGATACTGACTTGGAAATCATCGATTGTCTGACGATGGATTCACTGGAACACTTAGACTGAAGGACCAGCCAATTTCACGATGGAATTCTCGTTCCCACTTCGCGTCTGGCGCACAGACTCGAGTTTAAGGATAGATGGTAGGGGGAAAACAGCCGGTGGTCAATCCCTCAGGTCCTCAAGAGACGTGACTTTCTTGAGGCATCTTTCCGACTGTCACCACGAAGACGGCTCCATAGACGCGATTTACGCAAGCCATATCAGCTGTGCAGTCACAGGGCTTGACCAGTACAGATGGACTGGAATACTGTTTGCCGAAGATTGGTTTGAAACACCGGGAGACGACCCAGCGCCTGACACTATAGAACGATACGACAATGATCTGATGGATGGACTGGCTTGTGATCCACTCGCTCGCGGGCGGGTTGACGCATCAAGGTCTGGTTGGTACCCACGCTCGTACTTTTTGAGCATCTTGGAAATTCGTTTACTGCAAGCACATGACGAATGGCTTGCCTTACTCTTCCGCTTGGAGACAAAGATCAAAGGAGCCGTAAGAACCCCTGGGCCTCCATCACGCAATGTAGCCAATTGTTTGACTATCTCTCTCTCTTAGTCCAAAAAATATAAGCATCTTCTCCGCCGCATTCAGTTTTCGGCTCGTGATTTCCGAACAGACCCACGGCACCACAGTCTGTTGCAAGATCTCGACGACTTTGAAGATGCAGTAGTCGACACAGAGGAACTGCTACGGGAATGCGAACAAGCGCTCGAAGAAACCCTGAAATCGCTCAAATCTTTCATGGCAACAGACGCCCACTACTTTTTTGGGAACACTCCAGAGCCGACGGGAGCTGACGCTTGTTTCGCACATCTGTCACAGATACGAAAGACATGCAACGACCTCCATCGATTTCATTGCAAATCAAGGGCACTCCAAACAGACTGCAGGTCAATCCTGAAGGCTGGAAAAGCCATGAGTAAGAAGGTGCGTGGCTGACAACGACTTTGGCGCTGAAGTACTACTTAGTAGATACTTAGGTACTCATTTACTCGCACATGGTTTACTGACGCAAACACGACTACAACCAGCATCTACGTAGATCGCAGATGGAAAAACTCCAAATAGTAAGTGCGACTACTTGAATCATACTGAACTAATTCCTGACTTTAAAGAACACATTCCAACGACCACATGTTCCTGGGTTCGAGTCACTAACCCAAAACCGGTTCCATTATCTTTGGGCAGTCGCCATGATAGCTGGGCTGTTGTCGATCATTAAAGACTCTAGGGCGCTTCACTGGAGTCTTTTGCTTATTGTGATGTTGATCTCAATGGTAATGTTCCTTTACGCGAGTATGTTACTTCAAACCAGTGTATCTCGAATGGGTTCATCACAGCATGGGTCCATTGGCCTGCGGACTCAGATTCAAGCCAGCAACTACACGCATATAGAGCACGCCACACTTGGAGATACGGTGACAAGCTTCCTCAATTTAGCTTGGCGTGGGTCCTCCGTAGACGTTTTGTCTGGAAGTGCTGCCGAGCTATCGCCCGGCGCATCATCCGAATTCAACGCCACCCGGCGGCAAGATCCGACAATTCACCATGTGAAGTCACACATCCTGCGTTGGATCCCCAGCGTCCGCTTTCTCAGCATGACCGAAAACAGCATTTCCAATCAACCTTTGGACTTACAAAACTTGGGTCAAATCATCGAATATATTCCTATCTGCCTCCCAGTCGATGGCAAGCGACTTCCCGAATTGAATGACATGAGTTCGCAGGATTGTCACGATGACAGATCTTTTTTCAGTTCGCTCAGAGAGCTATTGCAGAGAGATCGGTGGTTCACCTGGTCCGGTTTCCTTTCGCGAAGTGGTTTGAGGGAGCCGATTGGAATGCATTATGTGGAGGTATGAAGCACCGATCACCTGAGCTATTTGCATATTGAACATCATATACTGAAACCCACAGTATGAACTTTACCATGATGGCTACGTTTCGATACGGGTTCGCCCAAAGGTCCCTCCAATATCAGAAGCGGAGAGATACCGGCCGACGGAGAGCCCGTCGTTCGAGCCTGTGCCGTCGAAACGTCTTATGGATCTGTTCAAAAGCACCGCTGACATTGATGGGAGCGATCGTAGCAATCTCGACCGGATCATTCATCGCATTGACGGGCTGCCTCCTCAACAACGGACGGTGGGGATAGGTTATGGTCTGGAGATTGAAGAAGGTCCGAATTCCAAACTTCTGTGGCTCATCAGGTGGACATCTGTGGTCTTTTGCGTTGTGCTCGGCGTCGTATGGGCGGCCATCTCGGGTGACATCGAGAGTGGCTTTGCGATTTCAACCTGCCTAATAGCGTTTTCGATGGCTAGCGTGGCATTCTTGAAGTTTTCGGCGTCCAGGAGTTATTCGGGCAACGAAGAGACAGGTCAAAACGTGTAAGAAGGGTGCCGATTTCATGGCATGCAAATGTCAAGTCAATACATTTGGACGGACTTTCATGAGGGTAATGACGACTAGTCTGCTAGTCCGAAGCTAGCTCAATCAAATTCCTCTGTAAAGGCATTCGAACTACAGCTGATTAAAGAAAGACTGTGGCCGAATGTAAGGACCCTATTTGACGGTTGATGGGATAGTTCAACGGCTGTATCCCGGAGACAAAATCGCATGTTATGTCAACGAACAAAAGCATGTACCTAAGATAGCCAAGAAGGACTCAGACGAGAAATCGATGAGTTAACAAGACACCTGCCATCCTGGTAATGCCAATCCAAAGTCGTCGCATACCATGCGCGGTAGCCTCATTCAACGACTGGGTGATAGCCTCTGCGTCTGCAAGTCTGGAAATCAACCAATCCAGCGACGCCGCGTTGGCTGCCTTCGGTGCCCGACCACACCAACGGCCCATTTCGTCACTCCGCTGCTATCGCTGAAGAAAGAGACAATTCTCCCATCGTTTGTGATAGCGCTTGCCTGTTTTCTTTCTTCCACACACACCAAAGCAGGTGGTCACAAGATACTTGTCAGATCCCAGTAACACCATGGCGACTTTGTCCATCAACGGCCTTCAATCTTCACTTGGGAGGCTGAGCCTCGAAAAGCCTCTTCCCTCCTTTCCGGTTGCCGATGTGTTAGTGCGCCCGTTAGATATCTGGCGTTCTTACTTAGCCACTATCGTGGCGGAGGTGGCAGGCTGCGAACCAGCTGTTGCGTATGAAGCGATTCAGTCTACGGCTGCCATTTCCATGGGCGATCTAGCCATCATTCTGCCCCGTCTCAAGATCAAAGCGAACGCCGAGGCCGCAGCTGCACTGCTCGATAAGGCAATTACTCAAGTAAACTTGGAAGTACCTCCCTAGGCTGACAGAAATAAATGCAGTTTCCGAAGTCACCTCTATACACCTTTCCATTCGTCGACGGGGTTCACATCCGCATCTTTTCCTCCCCGTTCTTCCTTCCCAGACTTCTCATCCCCTTCATAGCCGACCGCAAAGAATTGTATGGAAGCGATGAAGTTTTTGGTTTGAGGGATGTGGCATCACCCGAGTCTGGTCGCAAAAAGGTCATCGTCGAGTTCTCGTCGCCCAACATTGCACAAGAGTTTGAAGGCAGGCACCTACGTAGCACAATCAACGGTGCTGCTATCGCCAACCTACATGAGCGGATGGGATGGGAGGTTGGTCGATTGAACTTTTTGGGCGACTGGGGCAAGAACATCGCTCTTCTCGCCGTCGGCTGGAACAAGTTCGGCTCGGAGGAAGCCTTTGCCAAAGATCCCATTCGTCACTTACTCGATGTACACAACCAGATCAACGAGCTGTTCAAGCCTGAGCAAGAGGCAAGCGCAAAGGCGAAGGAGGAAGGAAAGAATACAGCCGAGATTGAGTCACAGGGCATTTACGCTGAACGTGATGCGTTCTCCAAAAAATGGGAGGAAGGGGATGCCGATGCATTAGCCCTGACTACCAGGTTCCGCGACGTTTATGTCGAAGATTACACCAAAGCCTATGCTCGTCTCGGCATCAAGTTTGATGAGTATGCCGGAGAGTCACAGGTAACGCCGGAGTCAATTGCGGAAGTTGAGACAGTCCTCAAGGAGAAGGGGATATCCGAGGAGAGCGATGGATCGTGGCTCATCGATTTCAAGAAGCACGGCGCGAAAGGTCTCGGCACTGGTATGATCCGCAACCGTACTGGCACGACCATGTACTTCTCCCGCGACCTGGCCGCGGTGCTCGATCGTGAGAAGAAGTTTGCGTTCGACAAGATGATTTATGTTGTCGCTTCGGAGCAGGACTCCCATTTCCGCTGCGTGATCAAAGCACTCGAGCTAATGGGGAGAGAAGATCTCGCCAAGAAGATTCAACACGTCAACTTTGGCAAGGTTCAGGGCCTGTCGTCCCAACTCGGCAACGCGCACTTGTTGGGAGACATGCTGAACCAATGCGCCAACGCAGTGAGAGACGCCATGGCGACGGAGGAGAATGCTGGGGCCCCTCTTGCCGCCGCGGAGCCTTTCGGCATCACATCGCTTCTTGCTCAAGACATGCACACCAAGCGCAGCAACGGGTACGCGTTCGATAGTAAGAAGATGACTGAGTTCGAAAGCGAGACTGGCGCCCATCTTCAACTTCTTTACACCCGACTTTGTTTGACCATCAAGGAGCTTGGCGCTGACCCGACTGCGCTCGGAGAGATCGACTACGCGCATTTAGAAGAGGAAGAGTACACGAATCTCCTGAGACTCATGGCGCAGTACCCTGATGTCATCAACGCTGCGTACAAAACCCTCGAGCCTTCGGCTGTGTTGACGTTCCTATATCGGCTAGCCGAACAATTGTTGGTATGTCTCGATGACGATGAGGGCGAGGGTGAAGATGAAGAGGAGGAGACTGCCGATGACCCGGCGCTTGACCTTGCACGAGCGGTGCTGTATGAGAATGCCAGACAAGTCTTTGAGAATGGTATGAAGGTCCTCGGTATCAGCCCTCTGTCTTCCTGATTTCGACGCTCTGATTTTTGTCATTGTTGTAACTCGGGGGAAGGCAGGTTTGGTCATTGTTACATACCACTGAACGTGGTAAGATTGTCGAGGAATATTGGGAGGCGCATGATCTGTTGAAGTTGCTTTGTCATGAGATCATGACTTGATGACAGACATGGGAGCACAATTAGGATCCCAGGCCAGGTGGCAACTGTTTACTGTGATGCATAGCAAAACTCAAAAATAGTCAATATAATGTTCAGGCTTTTGCATGAAGCCCAGTGAAAGTGAAGCCTAATGTCTCTCACGCCTGTTCATAGCAACGTGCTTATAATCTCTTTTCTTGAGCTTCACTTGGGCAGGGTGTTCCGAACAATCAGCTGTTCTGTGCCCCAATAATATCCATGATATGATATCCTTCACTGAGAACGCTGTTTAGCTTATGTGCTCATGTCTTGGTGTATCTACGCGGCTAAGTACGCGGCCATGCTCGACGTCCTGGTTCTTCAGGCCCTCTCACTTCTGGCGGAAGACGAATACGTCGGAAAGAAATAGAGAGAGGCAAGACGGGAAGGTAAGGATGCCAATGCCTGCCTGAATAGATGAGTAGAGGGACCCACTGATGGAAATATCCTCAGGAGTTGAAGCCTTCTTCTTGACTTTTCTTCTTCGCCACCACATCTGAAGTCAGCCATTCCTACCAACCACAATTTAGGTAAGCCCTCACTTTTCTCATCACTTGGTCCCTCCCTCCTCTCAAAATACACCCACTGCAAATGAAAGGAATTTCCCTGCCTTCTAGCAGTGGAAAAAACTCTTTATTATCCTGAGCCCAGTCGCGCCTTCCTGCCTCGAGGTGAGGCCATTGTTTTTATTATCACTTTCCACCACGACCGCGCCCCACCCTCTCGTCCTCCTTCGCCCTCCCTCGCGCTCACCTTCACCCTCACCCTCACCTTTCTTCTTATTTTCTTTCTTGTCTTTTCCTCACCCATCACTTTCGAGATTCGGCTCGTTCACTCTTCAAACTTCTCATTCTCACCCAGTCGCCTGTGTATCTCGCTCTGATACACCACTGACTGGCGAGATATAGCTAAGTGGCATGAACATTATTGCCCTCATCGCTATCGTATCACAACAACGCGCGCTGTGAGAGCTTCCACAACAAGCTGAATATTGCGGTAGGTAATCTCATTATCTTTGTTCATCCTCGAAGGTGGTTCTGACTTCTTTTAACGCAGATTCGTCCGCAAACAAAGAAATCCCTTACAAACCACCAACCTCTAGTCGCTCATCACTCCATCGACTCAAACATCATGTCTTCCCGCTCGCGCGACCGCGGTACCACCGTCATCTCGGCCGAAGAGCGCGCCAGACGCATCACGGAGGCCAAGAGCAAGATTCGCGAGAACGCGACCTTCACTCCCGCCCTTCTGGGCCGCATCGAGTCTCGCATCGATTCCAACGCCTTTCGTCGTTGCATCTCGGACAACACTATCTACCAGTCCCTCTGCAACTCGCTCAAGGACAAGAACGTCCCCGAGCGCGAACGTCGCCCCGACCTCGTCGACTTTCTCGCCCTTGAGGCCATCGTCGCCGTCAACTATGACGGTGAGTACAACAAGGTCCTGAAGGACCTTTTCATCCGCTGCAACACCGCCGCCTGGGTCGACAAGGCGGTTCTCGCGGCCAATCAGGAGTGGTACCGCGATAACCTCTCTGATGCCCGCAAGTTCATCAAGACTCTCATCAACAAGGTTGACTCCCAACTCTTGGAGATCATCCTCGAGGACATCGATACTAGCTTCTGGCGTCAGACTCTCAACGACCATGTCCTCTACAAGAAGATCCTTGAGAAGCTCAAGAGCAACCGCGACCTCAGCCAGCGCGACGTTCTCACCGCTGTCGCTCTCAACGGCGGCAAGTACCCGACCGAGGTCTTCCGTCACCTCATCGTCCACCAGAACTCCGCCATGTGCCACTGGGGCAACAACGTCCAGGCCCAGCATGCCCTTTACGAGGACGACGAGTTCCAGGATACTCGAGCTCAGAACACCGTTGTCAGCGACACTATGGCCAACCTTGAGTCCTTCGCTGATGCGATGCATGATAAGGATAAGAGTAAGGAGATCCGAAAGAAGGTCCGCGAACTGAAGGACATTATGAAAGGAGACCTCGGTCTTCTCCGTCACACCCTGGGTGGCCGCATTCAGAAGAATACTGGCGGAGGCGGAAGAGTCGCCATTGGAGGCATCGGCAACGATCTTACTCGCCTTAACAGCCTTACCGGCGGAGGCGGTACCGCTGGTGTCCTTGCTGGAGGTGTTGGAGATACTGGTGGTGTTGCTGGTGTCCATAGTACTGGCGGTACTGGTGGTGTCGGCGGCGGTGGTGGTCACTTGGGTACCGTGGGTGACTTCCAGACTCAGCTTCGCCCTACTCATCAGCGTCATGACTC